AATACAATATTAGGTCAACTAAAGCTTAGTCCATTGTTCTAAACAAATTTATTCCAACAAGTCATACACATTATATCGTTCACTATTTTTTCTGGACAAAATATGCACGTCAAATCTAAGCAAAATCACTCGTTTCCATTTTTCAATGTTTTTTTTTGTAACTCAAGAGAACTGGAGTCCTAATCAAAATCGAACTACAGTCCCGGACACATGTACGTATTTTGTAGGACTGTAGTTCGCAAAACCAATCGGACTCCAGTTCGCCGGACTGGAGTTCGTGATGCCCGTTGAACATCAAAAATGTGACGAATAAATTTATTTCTACAAACGATCGTGTACATTTTCAATACTAGAGAATTCATAACGAATTAATTCAAAAATGACAGGTTTGCGAGTTTGTCAAGCAAAATCGGGACAACATAACGTAGTTTGATATTTTGAAAGCGAATTCGAATCGATTTATTTTAAACCGCTCCCATTTATTGGCTCCTTAACTTTAATTGAATCCTATGAAAAGTTTTGAAGAAAAATCAAATGAATTTTCTAAAAAAAAAACTGAACGACAGAAAAATCGAGTAAATCATTAAATTTCAGTCAGAAATAATTCGAGATGCATAGATTTGCATCGATTTTTTTCAATCCATTTGCTAACAAAACAAATGCAAGAAACATGGTTTGTTTCGAAATTATTTCGAGTTTCATTCAATTCAGGAAAATTATTTGACTTCATAAACTTCGGAAAAAAAATTGATTCAGAACTATTTTATGAATACTTTAAACTGGAAACGGTAGCACTAATCGAAAGGCGAATGGTAATTGTAAGTGGCGTGTGTGTATCGCAGCGATATCAATACATTGAAAGAGAAATTTCATTTTGTTCGCTTTGCTTCGCATCGTCCGTCACGAATACAACGACTACGTTATATCATTTGGAGGGGAAATGATATGGCGATCTTATGGTTAGTGAAAACAACGCATACATGCACATTGAATCGGTTCGGCTTTCGCGAGTAGCCACGATCGCGATTCGCTGTTCTTTCAATGTTCCATGTTGCACACTACACTAGCAAACACTCAAAGCCGTTCAATGTCATTCATTGAGTGTCTTGATTCGGTCGATTCATTTTTTCTACAAAACGTTCTGAGATTTTCCGTCGCCATTTTTGTTCGTCAAAAGTACAGATTTTATATGTGATCGAAACTAAAATTCACTTAGAAAAATCCATTTTTCAATGCATAGTTTTTCGCTGAAACGTGTTTCTTGAATTTTCTTTCAGTGTGTGATAACATAAATTCGCGGAATAGAACTCCAATTAATATTTTTCAGTAGCATTTTTCACATGTGAGAATCATTTTGGGGCTGATATCAAATTCGTAACAAAGTCAAACACACAGCGGCAGATTTCATGATGAATTTAGTTTTAACCAACAGAAAAAATTGTTTAAAGAAAAAATATCGTGCTCAACTATGAAATTTCAAGTAAAGCTCTTTATATTCTTCTTCTTGATCGAACGCCATTCGATTTAATGTCTTCCGAAGAAAGAATTAATAGGTCGAGACTGTCGCTACTGTAGCGCAATTGTTCCTGTTCATTTCTCAAATTGGCATTTTTCGCAAATGGCCATTTTTCTGAATGCTGAGTAAAATCGAATGAATAACGAAATAAATGTAGCAAAACGATCGTTTAATATTTATCGATCGTTGAGCATTTATCAATTCCCAGAAATAAATTCATTTTGAAATTCATCTACTCAAAAGTATTATTTAATGGAAGATTTTTTCGGCAAAAATCGGAAAAAATACAGAAATAATGTGGTTTTGACAACTGTTTTCAGTTCATGAACATAAAAAATTGATAGAAAAAATGCGTCGATCGATTGATTTTATTTGAGCAATAGGGTATTTTGCATTGAGAACCGCGTGTTTGCATACGGACGACGTTATATTTGAATCGATTTTCAGCAGCATTTTTTTAACTTCGTGGAATGAAATTTGATATTCGTGGCTGTCGATTCTGGTTCATTTGGAATAATACAACATAAGTTCATTTAAATATATTTTGTTCGGTGTTTGTTAATCACACATTTTTCTTCAATGAATGAAATTCATAATTTCAGGAATCAAATAACATTTTTGCAACCAATTTTCATGATTTTTTGTGCTATTTTTTTCGATTGATAATAAGACAAGATTCGTGAGTATTCGAAGTATTATTTTATTGAAAACAAGTAGATTTATTTCAATAGAATAAAAATAAAATCAGCAAAAAAGTGATTATTATAACATTTGATTTCCGTTCATGAATTATGAGTGCAAAAATTCGAGAGCATTAAATCAATTTCATTAAAAACTCAAATCATTTTGATTCAGTCAATGAAAAAGGCGGTTGAAACCTATCTAGAAAAAATAAAATTCTTAAGGCTTTGCCCAAATTGAATAGCTTCAAAAGTCATTGCATGAATATTTCGAACATGGACAGCGGCAACACTATTCCAATTTCGCGATGAAGTTCGAACATAGGCTCAATTGTATTTATATGTCTCCGAAGGGCGAGACCATTTATTCGTTTCAATACGAGCCGAATTTCTCGTCTATCGCTGTGCTTGTGAATTCGCCACGGTGATCACATTGCCATTGTATTGATGTGGCATACACTGACACAGGCACGCACACTCAACCACTTATGTCATCGCGGCTTGCGTAATGTCATCACCAAAGCTTTTTTTCACACATTGTTTTCTTCGTTTCGCTTTGCATCGTTCGTCCCCCTTCGCGCATTCAGTACGAAACGTTGAGGGGAAATTCGAACTAAACAAATACATGCATACTTAAACGCTTCGCGTCGTTCATCAGAAGGCACGCTCTTTATTCGCGTTATTTCTTGCATCAGTCACAGTCCCCCTTTCAGTTGAATCAGTTCAGTTTTGCTACGCTGCAGTTTTTATCATTATTTATTCCCGGCCATTATTCAATTCCTACGCTGCATGTGTAATGTTACCATGTGTACTGATTTTATCAGTACTGTACTGACTTTTGTCAAAAAATTTTGTTCGGTACTGATTTTCACTGAGTACTGATTTTTTAAGCTTCGTACTGATTTTTTGGAATTTTGAAGTTTTGGTACTGAATTTTTTTTAGCGGCATGTACTGATTTTGTACTGATTTTTTGTCTAAAGATGCGAGTACTGATTTTTCATCAAAATGACATGGTAACATTATGCATGTGCGAAAATTCAGGATAAATTCAAATAAATTGTTTTTGCTGCATTTTAGAATTATTTCGCGAATTTCTTTGCTAATATTCTATTTTTCGACGAAAACTCCGAAAAAATGCGATTGTGATTCAAATTGTGTATAGAAAAAAACTAGAATCTAGGTGAGTATATTTCAAAATCTGTTAAAAAGCATTAAAAATATTGAGAAAAAAACAACATCTTATCAATCGAATGAAATTTGGTATCAAACCATATTCTCTATAGAAAACCGCGTGCTTGAGTTAGACCGCCATATTTGACTCTACGTCCGGTGTCATTTTTTTCGATGGAATGAAATCTGATATGTGTGAGACCGTCGCCATTTCAGACCATGTTCAGTTTTTTTTCTGCCATTCACTTTGATCATTTGATTTGAATCTTGGAATTCAGGAAATGCGCGTTTTGTCGACATTTTTTATTGAAATCTGAAGAAAAAATAATCTGCTGCAGTTTAATGCTGCATATGGTTGGTATTTTCGGAATATTTGTTTCAAGTTCAATCAATCAGGATTTTTTGCTGCTGCGATTCTTTTTACTCACAATTAAAACTTTAAATTTCTATTTAATCTCATTTCATTTTACAAGTTATCAAATTTAGTTAGATTCATTTTGAGCAAATTTTACAATTGTAAAACGAGTTTCAATTTCAATCGTTTTATGGTCAATTGAATCAGTGTTTATCGCGGTCTCAACTTTTTCAATTTTTTATGAACAGTTCGAAATCTGGAATGAAATATTTCGAATGAATTCTTTAAAGAAAATTTGCACATAAATAACAATCGAAATGCATTTCTTTTGGGAAAACCTAACAAATTGTAATCGAAGATATTCGAAATTTTTTAAGAGTGGAAAACAGTTTGAATCCATTTTCAAGAAATTCACATTTGAAGACTGTCCAGAAGACAGTGAACAATCGACTTCAACTGCATATTGTTGCACGTGATCTATGTTTACATGCGAATCAAAAAGAAAATTTGCATTTGCATTCACATTTTTATATAGTGCTCTAAATTTAAAATAAGGAAGCTCTCGTTTTCCCCAATAAATTGAATAAAATTTTACTTAAACTTAAAAACGTTTTTCGTACAATAATTTTAATCACGAATGACATTTTAACTGCTACGTTTTTCGTAAATTGAATCTGAACTTAATAAAAGTACAGTTTGAATAAAGTTTTACTTCTCATTCCTTGCACTATCGCTCTGTGTGTGTACATAAATGGCATAGATCTTTAATGAAGCAAAGACGTTGACTTTTTGTAAAAACATTGGAATCAAATATTGAAAAAGTGTCGAACATCTCAAAGCGCTGAAATTCATCTCAAAATGGAATGAAATCTACTAGAACGAAAAGCCTTTTGTAATTCCCTCGCTGTCGAATGGTTTGAAGAAATCACAATTTTTCTCTTTGCTATGGTTTCGATTTGCTTCGTACGGTCACCATGTTGAATCCAATTGAATAACTGGGAACTGCCAATAAAGGACTTCGATTCGCCAGGTTC